GGTTGCATTAAATCTTTACCTACCAAGAAGAAGTATTTGAACAACAATTTGGACAGATATTCTCTTTCATTGAATTCATAGGGGTTAAATTAAGAATTTTTTGAAAACTATTTTATAATTATAAGAAAAATGTGGATTCATTAAAAAAAGAATATATTTGGGGTTATAGCTGCTAGTTTTTTTGTGTTCTATTAGAAACACTGCTATTAGCTGAATCCCAACAAAATTAATGCTTTATCATCTCTCTAATGTTCCAAATATTTTATAATTCAAAAACCCTATAGGAAAGAATAATGAAGTTCAAGTATTTAACATACAGCTTCCAATAGAAAAAAAGACAGCTTTTAAATCAATTTTATAGATTTTTCATTGGGGTTTTAATATTTTTACATCATAAAAGACTCGCGATTTCCGAAAGGATAGCACAGTATCATATTATTTTTTTCGAAGATCTAGAACCTCTATGTTTTTTATATTCGTTTCTCTCATTTTTCTCTCAAAGGAGAAAGAATCTTAATTACTTAAAAAAGATATTTTTTCTAAAAAAACATTTTTATTAAGTTGTTTTCGGAAAAAAATACTTTGTATAATACAAATTATTGTGTTATTTTTTTATATATTGTTTAAAACAAATTTACTAATATTTCTACCATCTAAGCAAAAATATTTCGAAATATTAATATTATTGTTTAAAATTATTTGATTATTTCTAGAAAAAAGCCTATTTTTTGATTTCTTTATTAAAGTATTGCTGTATAATTAAAGCAAAAATCATAATATTTCTTAAAATATTTGGAAAAAAACTCAAAACGCAAATTGGATTGAAAAAAACTCGGTTATTGAGAGTAATAATAGATAAGAGAAACAATCTGCAGTAGATAGCTTGGTGACTCTGCAACTTAAGGGATAAAAATAACGAATATTTTGCGACTACCGAAATCAACCAATCAAGAATTTTCCAAGTTTTAATGAGAATTACAACTAATGTAATTTTAGAGAAAAGGACCAACAAATTTTATCAGCAGATTCCCCCTGTTAGCTGATAGTAAAATAAAGGCAGCCAAGCGAAGAGACCAGCAAAGACATAGGGTACGTATATAAATAAAGTCTTCAGTAAATATTTAATTTCTCTTTCAATACATATCTTTCTTTTCCTAATATAGTTAACGAAGCCCAGAAATCATTGGATAAACTAAGAGAAAATCGAGAACAGTAAATGAAATAAAATAATAAGTTTAAAAAACCAATTTAAACAAAATTTCAAGTATCCGAAGTTTTATTCATCTTAATTTATAAATAAACATTTTTAATATGAAATTAATGTGTAAAAAATATAATTAGAAAGTCAAAAATTTTGAATTTACCATACTTAGTTTATTAAAGCTATATAAATAAATTTACACAAAAATTTTCTTGTTATCACATTAAGTTTATCAATAAAATGTAAATTTTTTACATTGATATTCATGAAGATGAATAAGAAGATTTTAAAGGCAATGTGAAATTCAATGTAAAAAATATAAATAATAAACTAAAAAGTTTTCAATGAAGAATTTATGATGAAAATATCTTTTATTAAGATATCGAATATAAAATATTTATAGGTAAATCCAAAAAGAATGAATAGATAAAAGCAAATTAAGAAAATTCTTTTTGTTAAAATGTAGAATGAACTATAGTGAAAAAAAAACTTTTGATAATAAAAATTCTTATGAAAAACTTACAAATTTGCATTTATTTGTTAGATTTATAATATTTTTTAATTTTTAATAGCTCAATGAATTGAAAGACTTGTGATTTACATATTTTTTCGTATAAAAATATATTAATTGCAAGTAAGTTCAAAACCAAAAATTAAAACTAAAATCTGTAAAATTCAAGATAATGTGAATTATATATTATTAGTAGTTATTGCTCTTATTCCGGGTTATTGATTCTAGTTGTATTTGAAATATAAAGATAAAATATTTTACAATATATATATATTCGAATTTTTTAAATAAATACTTTTGCTAATCTAAGAACGTAAGAAATTTTTAATAAATAAAGAATAAAATTATTAGAAACGAAAAAACTTGTCTTTATATAAAAAACCAATCTGATAAAATTAAAAAGTAAATAAAGATATAAATCTTATAATTTGGCAATGAATGAATATTTTCTACATTTATCAAAAATATGAGAAACAATGTTGTATTTAAAATATGAACATATGGGATCAATCAAATGTTTAATTTATGATTGTAACTGTTGATGTTTAGAGGATAAAAAGACGTAAATTTTACCACATTAGTAGATAGAAGGGATACAAAAAACAGATTAGCATCGTTTATATTTTTCACGACAAATAATTGTATCTTAAGAACTCGAAATGATTTTTATTTATTTATGATAGTAATATATTTATATGAAATATCTATAAATTCATGAATCCTTCTAATGTATTTACTCATTATTTTTTTATACCTAAAATAATATTCTATAATATTTTTGTTATAAGTATCAATATTATGTTAAAAAAAATTAATTTTTATTCGTTATTTTTATTTTTTATTAACAAATGTAAACTGTTTATAATTTTTAATATTACATATTTTCAACCTTTTTTCTTTTTTTTACAATTTGCAACTTTTGAAAACCGAAGACACATTCTATATTCGGAACAACTAAAATTGATAAACGTAGCAAATTCGTATTCAAAAGAAAACGCATACAAAATCACATAATTTACCAAACTCACATTATCTATATTTACCTTCATAAAAGAAGGATATTTTTTAACAAACTTTTTTAATATTTTGAAGTACCACACCTTCTAACAAATGTTACAATTATTGATAACATTATGTGTTTTATAAAGAATCTACCATATATTTAATAGAGTAAAATAACAATTAGAAATATAAATTCTTATTATTCCAACACAAATGAACTTACTATTCTTTTTTTATATCTATTATCTGTATTCTAAGCAAGAAAATGTAGATCTTTACACAATTAACATAATTTTGTTCAGTTGGATTAACAAAAGATTAAACACCTGTGTTACCCTCTTTCTAATAGCACATTTTTTCGGGTTTTTAATTTGATATAAAATCTCTTTTCAGTAAATAATCTATGCCAAAATTAAAATTTTCAAGACTTCAAAGCCATTTATTCCTGGTCATAGCTTCAGCTACTGCTACCAAACCCAACCAATTGGAATAATACCAGTAGGTGAGGACCTTGTTTCACCAGTACCATACAAATGGTATTATTTCCACAGAAATGACAACAACAAAACTATAATTAATACCAATAACTTTAGATTAAAAATTTTCTTGTAGATTATTAAAAAAAACTTTCTGAAAGTATATGTAAACTGTCTTATTAATGATTGTATTCCCAAGAAATCTTCTCATAAAATATTTTCGATTTTGTCAATGTTTGAATTTCTATTGCCAATGTATAAACTCAAATGATTTTCCATGAAATTTTAAATTTGCTAATCTAACTATTTAATGGTTAGTGTTGCAAGAAAAAAGAAAATATCGTGAGAAACTCTTTAAAAGGGATTAAAATTTGAATTTATATTTTTATAATTTTTTTTGTAACAGGTTTTGCTTAACGAAATTCTTTTCAGAATTGGTTGTTTTTATATTGTTGATTGCGCATCTCAGACGTATAAATTTTTTCTTTGTTTCTTTTGTTTGTTTCAATGTACCATCTATATGATTAAGAATTTTATTTTTAAAATTATCATCTACGAAGATTATTTGCAGGAAAAGACACATAAAAGAGGTTACTAATGCTCGGGTCGCACATATGATGTTAGTACATACCAATATCTTTATATCTGCTTTGATTTTTACCAAAAATTATAAAGATTCTCAGTTTCAATGTATATTAATTTGGTTTTACTTCTTTAATCAACTTATAATCTTTTTCCAGCAAGCAACTCTGAAGCCATTTATTTTTTTATCAAATCCAGATTTCATAAAAACCTTTGCACAAACATTTGTTTGGTATCCGATCCTTTGTCATTTTCGATATGAATTGTCAATATTAGTATCGATTTCGCAAGAATTTTTTGATGCATGAACAGCGACAATTTAATATCGTTCTTAATGTTTCCAATCTTGCGATTAGTAAAAATTAGGCTAAAACGTACCACTATTAGTTATAAAATCAATTAAACTTTGGAATCAAATTTATCTAATTTGGTATTTTTGGCTGAATATTCTTAAATATTTCCTCTTTTATTACCGTATTTTTTGCATGTTTTCATTTTAATGAAAGTTTTTATTACCAAGAATTCGAAACTGCTTTTCATTCATTTATTTCTGAATATTAAAACAAATAAACAAGTTTTATTTATGAAATCAAAAAATTATTGTTTGTTTCTTAGAATACTATAAAAAGATTTGATTTACTTTTACATAGAAAATTTGACAAATAAAAAAAGTTATTAAAATTTGTGCTACCTAACGCGTAATTGTTTACATCACTTCTTTTATTATCGCATTAACTGAAATTTTGGAATTCTTGAGGCCTTAATACATTTAGATAAATATCAATTTCTGCTTTAATATTTTTTATTATCACAAAAACTGAGAAAAAAAATTTTAGATTTTTTTCAACTAAAAGAATATTGAACATTTGAACCAGGATTTTTGTTTATTTTAAATTCGCTGATAGACTGAATACCATTATTCTTATAATTTACATTTTATATGTCTTTTTTTTAATAATATTTTAAAAATAATAGCAATATCTATCCGAGCTATAAATTACTGGTACTAATATAAAAACAACGGGAATTACAAAAATTTTAGAGCGAATGAGAGATTAGAAGTGTTACGATTCTTATTTTTTAGAAATTAAATCTATTAGTTTAATTTTTAAAACGAATTTAAAAGAGTTAAATAATGTTTAGAAATGTATCTTAAAAATACTGATGTTTATTAACAGTGGGATGCGCACTATAACTAGACGCTGTAAGCCTACTATCCGTCAAAAATCGTCAGTAGTAGGATTTGAACCTACGCGGGCACGCCCATTTGATTTCGAATCAAACGCCTTAACCACTCGGCCATACTGACATTCAAAAATCTTAGTAGAATTATAAATTACAAACATACATAGTACAAATTCAAGAAATTATAAGTATATAACATAAAATGCATAAAAAAACATCAAATATGATTAGAAATAAAAATTGGGATTTTCAAAAAATAAATATTAATATATTTAAGTCAATAAATATAAAATAACCAAAAAAAATCTCTTAAAAGCCGATTATAAATAAATTTTATTATCCTAGAATTTGCACTTTGTTACATTGGTTAGATGTTTTAGCTATACTCTGTATATTTGATTTACTTGATCAATTAAATTCTAAAGAAGTGAATCTTCCTCAGAAAATTTTTTTATTATTGCGACTTTTGTTAAAAATAGTAAACAAATAAATCATACAAAATTAGGTTGAATTTTGAATTTTTGGAATTATCATATTAAATATAGGTTTGGAATTATAATAATCACATTGATTGGGTACATATGTTTTAAATTGACTTTTTTACCAGATATTTTTACTTTCAAAGAATATATTTTGAAGATATAAACATGCTTAAAAGATCAAATTACAATCTAAAAAATATAAATTATATATTTTAATCAGCTTTAATGTACTAAGTTGAAATTAAAAAATAATGCATTTGAATTTTATGCATAAAAAAACATGATACATATTCAATAGATGAATAATATAATTCACTTTATATATCAAACTTTGTCGTAAAATAAGAATTTCTAATTGATATTTAATGTAATCCTTTAAAATCTTTTTAAATAAAAATAATGCGCTATCAAAAAAGATAAACGATATTTCGAAATAAATTTATACATTCAAAATGTGTGAAATTAAGCTTACATAATAATATTCAAATTTTACAAAACCTTTAATTTGCTTTTACATATAATAAAAAACATACAATGCAAAATTATAAACTTTTTTACCTGCTGCAACTTTTTTTTAACTGATATCCTTTTTTCTTTAATGATACAAGATTGCCACAAATATTGTTTTAAAAAATATTTTATATATAAATTATCGTTATTGACTGAAAAAATAACTGTTTATAACAAAAAATTGTGAAAGTTTATATTTTTACGTCAAGTTATTTGTAAAAAATTCATATTTTTAATTATTATCTAAAGAAATAAGAAAAAAACAATTAAATAATATGAAAAGAAATATGAAACACATATTAATATAAAAACGTGACAAATATATGAGGGAAATAATTTTATACTTAGTATCTGTGGTGAATCCCTGATAACACATTTTCTAGAAAATACTTTTTTATAAATTTAATTTTAATTAATAACCGAAAAAAATCTTTACTTTTATTTTATATCAGATAATTACTTTTGCGACCTAAGAACAGTTTCCACAAAGAAGAACCTACAAGCGGACATACCCCTTCCAGAAAATTCCTCTCTAAACCAATGTAAATAACTACCATACATACGGTATAGTGAATCATGGGCACGACAGATGCCATGAAAATTGCATCATAAATACTTTGGCAAATACAAACATTATAGCTTAGTAAATAGAGATCGGAGGATATAAGATACATGAATAACGCTTTAGAAATTATATTTTTTGACTTTATTTTTCCATTATTTTAAAAAATTGTGGTCAAATAGATATAGTGAGCTGTTTTCCTATGTTTTTAATTCATAATATATCATAATAAATATAAAAAAAAAAATTTTCGGAATTAACATCCATATTTATGGAGATTTTTTTAAGTGGTTAACTTGCCAATTGGACCCAATGTCTGGCTCTAAATATATTTTTATATTTCATTGTTTTTATATCTATATAGTGTTTTATACAATCTTATGATATACTAACTCACGATAATTTATAGAAGTTGGTGAAAATTATTATGTTCTTGATTTAGAATAGATGCAAAATAATTGCTGATACAAACCTCATAAGATATTTAGTAATGTTGTGATCACACAAAAATGTAAAAAGAATGCTGAAAATTTATCACGAAAATAAATATATATCATTTTTGTACTAAAATTTGAAATTGAAGATCTAAAACATTTGCAAATATTTTTGACTAAAGTAACGTTAAGGTGTTTAAAAATGGTATAAATGTTAAAAACTTTTAAAAAAACACTTTTATGGATAATCTGACGGAAGAAGCTCGGGGAATAATAACTAGAATGGTTATAACGTGAACTTAGTATACAAACGATGTGAAAGTAAAACGAGGAACGAGCAAAAAGAATTGTGTGTACCAATTAGGTGTACTTGGAGTAAGTGTAGAGTCACCGAAAGACTTTTTCGTGGAACTTTTTCTGAAAAATGTAAAATCACTAGAGAAACAGCAATTTTAAAAGTTAAATTGCGGTTCGTGGGATCGAGAACGCATTTTTGTGCAGTTTCTTATCGATTTCTAAACCAATATTGTCGAGAATCATGAAAAAGCTAAAAAGAATATTGATTACAAAAATTTATAAAATTTTAAAAAAATTGGTGGAAATAATATTATTGTAGAAATCGATGAGTCGAAATTCGGTAAAAAAAAATACCAAAGAGGCCATGCTGTAATAGTTGTGTGGGTAATTGGAGCCGTGTAAAGAACACCAGAAAGGATATTATTTATGAAAATTGTTTCATATAGGACCGCCTCTACATTGGTTTCAATTTTAACAGACTACATTTATCCTGATTCAACTATTTATAAATATTGTTGGTGAGCTTATAAAAACCTAAGTACCTGTTTTTCCCGACATCTAACAGTAAATCACTGTTTTGAGCTTATAAATAATTTTAAAACGTGTCATACAAACGCTTTAGAACTAATTGATGTTGTATAAAAAATCAGACACAAATTCGTTGCAACCCAATGGATAAGTAGCCTTTTTATTTAATAAGATATATGTTAAAGAGAAATTTTCCTAGCATATTCTTTGTTACTTTATTAAATATTTAATTTAACAATAAATTTTTTTAAAAATTTTTGTCTAGCATTTTGAAATTTAAAAAAGGTATTTTTAAAATTTTACACTATTTACAGCGTTATTTACCACCTTAACATTACTTGCTCCAATATTTTTATATTTTTCTAAATTTTGAAAGATTTAAAAAATATCAATCAAACAGGAAATTACATTTTTAAACAATATAAAATGTGCTTTTAAGTGATTTGAAATTCAATGTTTACTTTGTAACCAAAATAAATTTAAAAATTTGATTATATAATAACATGGATAGTTATCAGGCTTACAGCATCTAAAAGCACTGATTTTGTTTGCAAAGGAAAGTTAATAACATAAAATCTTTTCCACAATTTTTATTTACGACTGAGATACTTGTATACTTTTCATTATTGTATTCCTATGTGTCTGTCGATATATAAAGTTTTTTTTGTTGGGGTTAAAATTTTTTCATTGTAAGCAGAAGTTATTTTACATATGAAAATGGATCTTGTAAAAAAAATATTTTAAATATCGTATAGTGATACATTAGAAAATTACTAAAAACCCAAATTCGTGTTTTTTTCGCACAAAGTCGAACATCTAGTGTTATCTCTAAGAGCTTAATTGGAAGACCGCAAATAATTAACAGGCAAAGAAAACATTTATCAAAATATAAACAACTAGAAGTTGTTTTATGAATTATAAAGTGCATATTATTTTCTGTCTCTTTATTTTTGGTGAATTTTTCTTTGTTTTGGTTGTTTATTTTTATATCTTAAGGGTCTTAAATATTAAAATTAAGAAACTTTAAAAAAGTTATGTAAGCCTAACCACCAACAACGAGATTCACTTTTATGTCATTCATGACAACAATAAAGATGAAAGGCAACCAGTTTTTGGAAAAAAATAATAAACCTATTACATTATAAAGCAATATTGTTATTGTAAAAAAAGAAAGGTTTTTTTATTTGTATTTTACCATTATGAGTTCATATAGTTTATTTCGGATTTAATGTTTGTCTTCTAACTTTCTTTTGTTGTAGCCTTTGGAAATCATATTATAGAAATTTTTATTATATAAATATTTTAGTTGAAATATGTTTATTTTCTGCTAGTATATTTCTTTTTTCAGTTTCTTTCAATATTGTATGAGCCATCTTGGCTAAAATAAAACAAAATATTAAATTCTTTATGAAACATTTTAAATTTATACTTTTTTCTGTTAAGGACAAAAATTCATTAATTTTTTTATCAAGAAATCAATTTTATTTAAATGAAAGTAATATTTGTTTTGTTAAATAGATATTATTCTTATCAAACCAGAAATTTCGAATTCTTTTTGTTTAAAATAAATTTTATAACGCACCGGTATATTTAGAACTACGTCAAAATCATTCAATACAAATTAAATAAAATTTTTTACAATATGATTTGCTATAAATATACAATTAATTAAATTCACTGATAAAAAAACAAACACTGAACATCAGAAAAATCGCATGGTAGTGGCAATGGTGCATTAAAATTTATTATTTTTTTTATTAAGTCTATATAATGTAAAAAATTATTTGGTCTCGATCCACGTATTAAAAACTATAAAAACCCGATAATTTTTATAAGTTTAGTTTGTAAGTATAAAGCACAATATTAACATACCATGGAGTAGAATTGAAAACAATAAATGTTTTTGTTGGGTCTAGGTTTGTGTTATTATTTCACGCATATTGAATTTGTAAAAAATCCAGATAAACAATGTTTGTATTCTGCATTAAAATTCGTACATATGATATTTAGACCTTACTTTTTTTGCATTAATTAAAATATATAAAAGAATTAAACGACAATTTGATTTTTTCAATTTTATAAAATTTCATCTATCTCGTAATATTCAACCAGAAAAATAATTGAAATAATTTTTTTTTTAAGCAAAAAAAATTTGTGAATGTCTTGCTTCATTTCCTTTAAACCATTGGTGTAGTAAAGGTGAAATAAAGACTTAACAACATTAGACTTGGATTGGGGTTTCCATCGTCCTTGGTTGTGTTCATTAAAAAGGTTTTGATAAAAGAATTTGTTTTTAGAATTTAAGGGCATG